GGGGGGGAAAAAAGTCTTATTTTGGGGTGAAAAAGGCTGATTTTGGGGTAGAAACAGCCAATTTGGGGCATTTCTGGGGTAAAAATGGCTGATTTTTGGGTAACAAAGACCAATTTTGGGTAAGAAAAAGCTGATTTTGGGGGTTTTTGGGGTCCAAAAGGCCAATATTGGGTCAGAAAAGGCTGATTTTGGTCATTTTTGGCGGTAAAAATCAATGATTTCGAGGTAAAAAAGGCTGATTTTGGGGGGTTTTGGGGTCAAAAAAGTCCAATTTTGGGGTGGAAAAGGCTGATTTTGGATTGGAAAAGGCCAATTTTGGGTCAGAAAAAGCCAATTTTTGGGGCAAGAATCAACGATTTTTATGTAAAAAAGGTGGATTTGGGGGGGTTTTCAGGTCCAAAAGTCCAATTTTGGGGTGAAAAAGTCCAATTTTGGGGGGATTTGGGGTCAAAAAAGTCTGATTTTGGGTTGGAAAGGGCCGATTTTGGGTCAGAAAAGACAGATTTGGGGGGTTTTTTGGGTCTAAAAGTCTGATTTTGGGGTGGAAAAGGCCGATTTTGGGGTTGAAAAAGGCTGATTTTGGGGCATTTTGGGGGTAAAAATCAACTATTTTGATGTAAAAAAGGCCAATTTTGGGGGGTTTTGGGGGTCCAAAAGGCCAATTTTGGGGGTTTTTGGGGTCAAAGAGGCCGATTTTGGGGGTTTTTGGGGTCGAAAAGTCCGATTTTGGGGTGAAAAAAGCGGATTTTGGGTGTTTTTTGGGCGCCAGGGCGGCGCAGATCGAGCTGCTGCAGCACCTGGTGTCGGTGGCCCACGAGCACAACCTGGGGGTGCCCCTCGAGCTCAAGATCAAATTCAACATCGTGGCCTCGCTCTACGACTACAACCCAAACCTGGCCGCCTACATGAAGGTGAAATTGGGGGAAAATGGGGTGAAAATGGGGTTAAAGGGGGTTTATTTGGGTTTTTAGGGGGTTAAATGGGATTAAATGGGGGTTAAATGGGGTTAAATGGGGAATAAATGGGGTTAAAATGGGGTTAAATGGTAATTAAATGGAAAATAAATGGGTTTAAATGGGATTAAAGGGCGTTAAATAGGATTTAATTGGGTTTAAATGGCGTTAAAAGGGGAATGAATGGGATTTAATTGGGTTTTAAGAAGGTTAGATGGGATTTAATGGGGTTAAATGGGAACTAAATGGGAGTTAAATGGGAATTAAATGGGATCAAATGGAAAATAAATAGAGGTAGATGGGACTTAATTGGGGTTAAATGGAATTTAGATGGCGTTAAATGCAGTTTAAAGGGGGTTAAATGGGGAATAAATGGGATTTAGTTGGATTTTAATGGGGTTAAAGGGGGCTTAATGGGGATTAAATGGGAGTTAAATGGGAATTAAATGAGATTTAAGTGGGTTTTAAGGGGGTTTAGTGGTGGTTAAATGGAGAATAAATGGGATTTAATTGGGTTTTATGAGGGTTAAATGTGATTAAATGGGATTTAAATGGAATTTAGTGGCATTTAAAAGGGATTAAATGGGATTAAGTGGGTCCTGCCCCACAGCCTGAGCTGTGGCAGAAGTGCCTGGGCTGCATCGAGGAGCTGCTGGAGCTGCTCTTTGCCCACCCTCAATCTATGGGTCAGACCCCAATCTATGGGGCAGGGGGTGGATCTATGGGTCAGACCCCAGTTTCTGAGACCAGTCTATGGGTCGGAGCCCAGTTTTTGGGGCTGTTCTATGGGTCAGACCCCGATTTGTGGGTCAGACCCTGATCTATGGGTCAGACCCCGATCTATGGGTCAGGGGTGGATCTATGGGTCAGACCCCGATCTGTGGGTCACCCCCCAATTTCTGAGGCCAATCTATGGGTCAGACCCGAGTTTTTGGGGCCGTTCTATGGGTCACACCCCAATTTGTGGGTCAAACCCCAATTTATGGGGCAGGGGGCTGATCTATGGGTCAGGGTGGATCTGTGGGGCAGGGATTGATCTGTGGGTCACACCCCAATTTCTGAGCCGAATCTGTGGGTCAGAGCCCACTTTTTGGGGCCATTCTCTGGGTCAGAAGTTGATTTATGAGTCAGACCCCAATCTATGGGTCAGGGACTGAATGTATGGGTCAGACCCCAATCTATGGGTCAGACCCCAGTTTCTGAGGTCAATCTCTGGGTCCAAGCCCAGTTTTTGGGGCCGTTCTATGGGTCAGAAGTTGATTTATGAGTCACACCCCGATCTGTGGGTCAGGGACTGAATCTATGGGTCAGGGGTGGATCTGTGGGGCAGGGACTGATCTATGGGTCAGACCCCAATCTGTGGGTCACACCCCAATTCCTGAGGCCAATCCGTGGGTCAGAGCCCAATTTGTGGGTCAGACCCCGATCTATGGATCAGGGGTGGATCTATGGGTCAGACCCCGATCTATGGGGCAGGGATTGATCTATGGGTCCTGCCCCACAGCCCGAGCTGTGGCAGAAGTGCCTGGGCTGCATCGAGGAGCTGCTGGAGCTGCTCTTTGCCCACCCTCAATCTATGGGTCAGACCCCAATCTATGGGGCAGGGGGTGGACCTATGGGTCAGACCCTGATCTATGGGGCAGACCCAGATATATTAAGTCAATCTGTGGGTCAGAACCCAGTTTTTGGGGCCGTTCTGTGGGTCAGACCCCGATTTGTGGGTCAGACCCCGATCTATGGGTCAGGGATTGAATCTATGGGTCAGACCCCAATCTATGGGGCAGGGACTGAATTTATGGGTCAGACCCCAATTTCTGAGGCCAATCTCTGGGTCAGAGCCCAGGTTTTGGGGCCGTTCTATGGGTCAGAAGTTGATTTATGAGTCACACCCCGATCTATGGGTCGGGGACTGAATCTATGGGTCAGGGGTGGATCTATGGGTCAGACCCTGATCTATGGGTCCTGCCCCATAGCCTGAGCTGTGGCAGAAGTGCCTGGGCTGCATCGAGGAGCTGCTGGAGCTGCTCTTTGCCCACCCCGAGATCTTCGTGGGCGAAAACGTCCTGGAGGAGTCCGAGAACCTCAACAACCCCGAGCAGGTCCGGGGGCGCTTGGGGGGCGGCTCGGGGGCGGTTATGGGGCCGGGAGGGGGGG